TAAAAGCTCAGGATAAGGCTTGGGGAAGGTTTCGGCGGTACCCGACTGTTCAGAACAAGATCAAATTCAAAGAGTGTAAAGCAAAAGCTCGTTGGACAAGAAAACAAGTCAAGACCTTATGGGTGAAATATGTATCCTCTCTAAACAGTTTTGTTCCTGCAAAAGAGGTATGGGATCGTGTTCGGAAAATTCGGGGTACTTACCACTCCTTCAGCATTCCCCTTTTTCCTTCATCATCCCCATCACTAAAAGATCAGGCTGACATTCTTGCTGATCATTTTCGAGAAGTCTCCAGTTCTTCAAATTACACTACTAAATTTAAAAAGTTCAGGTCCTTGGCAGAAAAACAGCCAACTGATTTCTCTGGAAGTGATACTGGTTACAAGCGGCCGTTCACAATGAGTGAGCTTGAAATAGCCCTTGCAGTAAGGAAGCAGTCAGCACCTGGTTCAGATATGATTCATTATGAACTGCTGAGGCACTTGTCGGCTGAATTCTTGGTGAATTTGTTGTCTTTCTTTAAAGGGACCATGAAATGACCTTTTTACTTTTTCCAGATAGCTTTTACATTAAACCGTCAAGGTTCACTGAATGCCGAACAGGCATCCGTTTTCGTCTCGGTTTATTAACTTCTACACAAAAAATGATTGAAATATCGACTTTTTCATTCTCTCCATCTGACCGCAAAACAAGCCGTGACATAGGCCGTTTCCGGAACCGGAAGTTCTCTCGGCAGTAGGAGAATGGGAGTGTTAGCGGCAACGAGTTGGGGTGCGCCGGTAGGCTTTACTGCGCTGATGTCACCGACGTATTTCCTGAATCGGCGCCTCTCATCGCCGCATCGCAGCTGAGCGAAATTCAATGATATATGTTGCGCTACAGCGACAGCATGGGACTAGTCCCATACGCCGGTATGCCTGTTGGGAAGTGCAGCGAGTCTTCCGGTGAAGACTCCAGAAGTCAACCACCCTGTCATTGTTGGCAGAAGGGCCGGCCCATGCCAGTCGTTTGCAAAGCGACGTAGATGGCGTTTTTCGCGGCCTCGGAGATGCAGGAGCGAGCCGACGTTAAAAAAGATACGTTTGAACTACGAGTGTCAGCAAGAGCCACGTAAATACCTGTTTACACTCGGAGCGGACGCGCGCGCTTGATGGAAGTGCTGTATTTGTGCTGTTTGTAAGCGCTTCGGGACCGTTCTTTTACGATTGCAACTCGATACTGACGCGACACTCGGCAAAGAAAGGTTGGACCGGGGTTGTACGTATACCACCCACGAACTGTTATAGCTCGACAGTGACGTGCAGTCTGTCAGAATAAAAATGGCATACCAATAACAAAGTGTACATACCGTGTTACGAAGGTAATCCATACGGCGTTTATTTCAGCTCTATACCACACAAAACAAGAAGATAGAATCGACGAGAGTCCCTTTTCGACGAGTGTTCGTCAACACTGCCTCGGAAAACAAGGGGAAGAGATTGACCTCACCTCTTAATCTAGAATTGAGGTCAGCGATCAAACTATAATACGGGAAGGGCCCACAAGGGTCGCGCGGGCATATTCCATTTAGCACGCCAGCCGGTCGTAGGCAGACGGCCTTGCGACGAAGCAACGCAGCGCCGAGTCGGAATGCCTGCTAGGCCTATATTCTGAGCAGCTCGCTTCGTCGGAGTCGGTGGATCCAGCGTTCTTGTTTGTCGTGGTCTGTTTTAAGTACTGTTTTCTTGCTGCTTGAAGTCGGCACGGGCGGGAAGAACACGTAGAAAAATAGACGTTCAGTCAGTCAAAGTTTTGAGAGGAAGGAAAACAAAGAAAATAAACGTTCGTCGGTCGCCGCCACCCAAGTAACTGTCGGCCCTGCCCTACTGCGCACGCGCAGTAGTTGCTTCGTTTACCACACGATAGATGGCGCTTGGCTCTCAGCATTATCAAATTTGGCAATTTTCGCCACACATCTCTAATTATGCTACAAAATGTGGATCTGAATATTATTTAACAAAACTTTTAGGAAACATTCGCCGGCTATTTATTGTTTACGATCGCGGTGCTGGTGAGGTAGGCTCTTACCCAATAGGCGACCTGGATTTGGCTGACGTGCTCCATTTCCGCGGATGCATCGTAGTGAACAGGCGAAGGAAGGAAGGCGCAGAAGAGTCCGGTTTTCTTTGAAAAGTTCTATAGCAAATAATTTTTCTTGGCTCCCTATTTTTGTGTTTCTTTTCACACCTTTCACGACGTGCGGTGGATGAAACTCGATTTTAAAATCATTTCATGGTCCCTTTAATCATTTATGGGAAGCTTCTTGTTTTCCACAGTGCTGGAAGAGAGCACACATCATTCCCATCTTGAAGCCTGGCAAAGACGCTTCCCTACCAGCAAGTTATCGGCCTATAGCACTGACTAGTTGTCTAGGAAAAATTTATGAACGACTTATAAACAGAAGGCTAGTATACATTCTAGAACAAAAGAAAATTTCCGATAAAAACCAGTGTGGTTTTAGAAGAGGTCGCTCAACCTTAGATCACCTTGTCCGGTTGGAGACTTTCGTGCGTGAAGCTTTTGTGAACCGGCAGCATTGCGTTTCTGTCGTTTTTGATTTACAGAAAGCTTACGATACGGCATGGCGGTACGGAATACTTCAGGACCTGTATAGGTGCGGTGTTCGTGGTCGCATGCTGCGTTGCTTAAAGGACTTCTTGACAGACCGTTTCTTTCAGGTCCGCCTGGGATCCACGCTCTCCGATGTTTTTACACAGGAAAACGGCATCCCACAAGGAGGTGTCTTGAGTGTTACCTTGTTCGCAATTAAGATCAACAGCCTCGCTGCAGTTATACCACCATCAGTTTTTTATTCATTGTACGTAGACGATGTCCAGATCGCTTTCTCCTCATGCAACTTGTCAATTTGTAAGCGCCAATTGCAGATAGCAATAAATAGGATGAGTAAGTTGGCCGATGAAAATGGCTTCCGGTTTGCACCAGAAAAAACAGTGTGCGTGCCTTTTTCATTACGTCGAAGGTTGTCACTAGATCCCAGCTTGCAGATGAATGGCACTGACGTAACCGTTAGGCATGAACACAAATTCTTGGGTGTTATTTTTGATAAGAAGCTCACTTTTCAGACCCATCTAAAAGAACTGAAGCGAAAGTGTCTTGAATCTGCCAATGTTCTCAAGGTGCTTGCACACATGTCCTGGGGTTTTGACAGGAGCTGCCTCCTGCGACTCTACAACTCGCTGGTTCGTTCCCGTCTCGACTACGATGCGGTTGTATATGGCTCGGCACGACCGTGATCTTTAAAAATGCTAGATCCTGTGCATCACCTTGGACTTCGACTTGCCACGGGGGCCTTCTGAACGTCGCCTGTCCCGAGTTTGTATGCAGAGACGTACCAAATGCCACTAGAAAAGCGAAAACAGTTCCTCAGCCTATGCTATAGTTATAAAGTCAAATCTGACCCTGAACACCCATCCTTCCGTTGTTTGCAGGTATCTCCTTTTTTACGTCTTTTTGAGAACAAGCCAAGTATAGTATGGCCTTTAAGCTTCCGCATTCAATGCATGTCTGCATCCCTGCAGCTTGCGCTTCCTGAGCGTAGCTTGATGACGAGAGTTCGAAGCATTGCTCCTTGGAAGGCGGTGGACTATACCTGTAACTGGTCGCTAGCGAAATACAATAAGCGAACTGTTGCACCACTAGTCCTTCAGCAAGAGTTTATGACCTTGCAAGCTAAGTATAAGGACCATGCACAATTCTTCACTGATGGTGCAAAAACTCCACACTTTGTCGGTTCGGCCGTGTATTCAGAACACTTTGTAAAAGCTCGACGGCTTCACTCTGTTGCCAGCATTTTTACTGCAGAACTTTATGGTGTGCTCATGGTCATTGAATATATATTAGGTAACAACATCAGGAAAGCTATCTTGTTTGTGGACTCCCAGAGTGCTATCCTCTCTCTGTTCCCTCAATGATTCTAAGAATTGGCTCGTGCAACAAGTACAGGTAGAGTTAAACCTGGCTTTCCAAATGGGATACAATATCAAGCTGTGCTGGGTACCAAGCCATGTGGGAATTTCAGGTAATAAGAAGGCGGATAGGCTAGCAGCCTCTGTTAAGGATGCTCTGGAAACACCCGTTCAGCTGCCTCAAGAAGATTTTAAACCAGTTCTCAAAAAAGCAATTTATTATGCCTGGCAGCAAGACTGGGACAAAGAAATAAATAATAAGCTACATGTCATCAAACCACGTTTGGAGGTATGGGAGAGTTCGCACCATAGAGACCGTCACCATGAAGTTTTAATGCGTCGTTTGAGAATTGGACATTCACGTGTCACCCATCAACACCTTTTTTGTGGTGAGGACAGCCCAGTCTGTGAGCATTGCGGTGAATTGCTAACTATACTGCATATTCTATGGCACTGCAAATTCTTTGATCGAGAACGTCGAACAAGTTTCCCTTCACTCTCTGGATATCTTCCATTTCATCCAGTCTTCTTACTGGGAGATGAACCCCTACTTCCTTTTGGTCATATTTTAGATTTTCTTAAAAAAACTGGCTACCTGCACCAGTTATAGATCCTCTGCATAGTAATTCCTTCCTTTTACTATAGAGCCTTTTAATTATTTCTTTGGCGCAGCATGGCCTATGTTGCTTTTTGCGCCATTAAACACCCAATAATCAATCAATCAATTCAATCAGCAGCACATTTTTTTTTTCTAGCATACGTTTACATTTATATCTTTTTTATTTATTTAGTTGTAATAGGAAACAATGTGAAATTAAACTCAGAATTTCAGACAATTGGAAATCAAACAAAAATAAACTCCGATAGACTCCAAATTTAAGGGAACAAATAAACTCAGAAAAACACGCTCCGAATTTGGTTGAAAAATAAACTCCAAAAAACATGGAACCTTAAATATAAGTCAATACCATCCATCTGTCGCGCCACGCAAGTTAGCAACCGACAAGTCTGCATTGTGACCCCCGCTCTACCAACCTTGTTGTTTTGAGACAGTCATTGGCAAGGGGAACACTGTAGGGACTGCATTCCAGAGCAGCTGCTTGGGCTCCAGGGGCATGAACTGAGATTTCTTGAAGTGCCTCTCGCACAAGGCTGCCCCACCCTGGTGGAGGGAGGCACGGTCTTGAGACAACAGCTCACTGCGTCCACTGTTCAGGCACCATTGCTTCAGCCTGTAATGTACGGGGAGACCACACCGTAAATCAACTCCACCCAGGTACCTACAAGGCTTGCTTTCAGACTTCGCACAGACTGAAAGTGTTTACAAGGTTATTTGATAGATGGCACTAGTGTGCCAGCATGTTGAAACTAGTGCTTGTCCTATACAGTCTTGTACTTGTCCTTTGTCTTTAGCACTAACTGTTTTTGTGATGTTTAACCAACTAGGCCATCCAGAATAGGCCCCATTTCAATCCTTTCTATTTTCTCTTTTTCATTTTTTTTTAACCTCGTCCTTTTTTCTACATCTTTTCATTAAAATGACAATTTAATTAAAGAAGCGCTTGTAGTGTACAGTTCAATCACCACCCCGGCCAGTTTCAATTTGAGCGAGTGTCGTACCGGAGCGCAGTCGTATATTACTACTGATATCGACCCTAACCCTTAAAGGGATACTGAACCAAAATTTGGACCTTGCGAAATAAGGCCGCAGAAACACTGACTTCAAAACATCACTCGTACATTGGTATCTCAAACGGATGGCCATACTTTTGGAGAAGAAGGGCGCGGTCAAGCGAGGTCCTTGACGTCATTGTTCTCCTGGAAAATTTGAGAATGAGGGGAAACGGCCTCGCTTCTCTCCTCCTCACCTCGTATCCCCAGCTCGACGGGACGTAGCGAGGAGGAGAGGGAATGAAAATCGTGACGTGACATGTCTTGTCGGCCGCGTTCAATCGCGCAATTCTTTTCCAAAAGAACGGCAATCCATTAGAGATAGCGCTGTATGAGTGATGTTTTTGGGTTTAGCAGCGTCCCGTCTATCTGACCCACCTTGTTTTGCGAGCTCGAAACTTCGGTTCAGTATCCCTTTAAGGGGGGACACTGGCTAGAGGTTGAACTTTTGAACTACTCAAGTGATCGGAATGAAATTTGCAAGGGAGATTTAACTTCAGATGTAAATATACTGTGCAAACTTTCAGCTCTCTAGGACAACTTTACATACCTGCATAAGATGTGTCACTCTTCATTAAGAAATCTATGATATGCAAATGAAGCTATTAAGCACCATTTTAACTGCTTGAGTATAAAGTGGGGGATGTGGGACTTCGGGCTATCTAGTTTTTTATAACTTAAATGTAAATATTTCAGGAAGAGTGATTACCTCAAAATATGAGATGCATATCTGTCCTATGCCAATTTTTGAAAACATAGTTTTTTTCTCAATGAGGACTTTAATGTAAAACAAAATAAAGTAGATAGCCCGATTCCCCCCAGTAAAGTTCAGTTCAGAAACATCTTGATTGTGGTATCAGAATAATTTTACCTTCAAACAAAAGATTCCTTCGTACGAAATTTGCAGCAAAAAGTAGAACTGAGAAAAATGCATTCAAACATTGTGAAGAAAGGTAAAAAACACAGGCGAGCTGGTGAATGGTATCCATAATAACCCTGAGACGAAGGAAAAATAAAAAAACGGACAGTACAACGAAGTCTCTAACACAGCTTGAAAATTTATTTAACAACCATCGTCTTATATACACCCGCCACCGACCTCCAAAACAGTTCAAAAGACCTCCTCGCCCACTTCATAGAGTACCCTCACCCTCAACATAAACCGACAAACGCACACAAAACAACCACGCCCAAAACACAAACCCCTACGTGGGACAGACTGGTCGATGTATAAATGATCGTATATTAGAGCATAAAAGGGCAGTTCAAAATAATGCACCGAACTCTGAAATTGCTAAACATGTAGGCGAGTGTAACAACTGTGTACCAGAGTGGGAGGGTACAGAAGTCGTACATAGAGAAAAAAATAGCCATACGAGAGTGTTAAAGGAAACTTTACGTATTTTAAGCTTCGGAAACTGTATCAGCCATCCTTCATTATCTCTTGATAAGGGAACAAAAAAGTTTCTAAATTTATAATTTTTTTTTTTTTTTGTTAAGTGTTGGGTCGCTGCTTTCGTGGTTCGGATTCTTCTCTTCCTTTGGGTGTTTTTTCTTTTTTTTTTTTTTTCAATTTTGTTTGTGTTCTGATAGGGGAACAAAAGAGTTTATAGGTGATGTTTGGTTCGGTCTGACGTTGTCAATTGCGGAAGTTCCTGCTTTCCCTTTTCGAGTTGGTGTCCCTTTGTGTTTTGGGCGTGGTTGTTTTGTGTGCGTTTGTCGGTTTATGTTGAGGGTGAGGGTACTCTATGAAGTGGGCGAGGAGGTCTTTTGAACTGTTGTGGAGGTCGGTGACGGGTGTATATAAGACGATGGTTGTTAAATAAATTTTCAAGCTGTGTTAGAGACTTCGTTGTACTGTCTGTTTTTTTATTTTTCCTTCGTCTCAGGGTTATTATGGATACTATTCAAACATTGAACTCCTTTACTTTGTTACTGCCTCACAATGTGTTGAAAATATTTTATATCAACGTAACTATTTGGCGCATGGTTATGAAATTTAGTGTAAGGGTGTATATTAGTTTCTAAAACCAAAAGCCTCAAAATTGAAAAATGAATTTTTAATTGCACCCTCTCGCGCTATTTGGCTACTGCAACACTACTCTCTCCCTCGCCCCCCGCCCTTTCACCTTCCGCCCAGCATGCATGTGTGCCCGGCTAATTCACTAGATGTTCGCTTCACGTGTGTCAAAAAAAAAATTGGGTTGTGTGTGTGTTTATACAGCCTAGAACTTGGTCTGCCTCACAGGGGCGACGAGTCTCCCAGCTGTAGATGAGAAATTTAGCCAGTGCGGTACAAACCGCTAGCCTGGGGTCTTTAACGTGCGTCATGCAGTAGTGATACACGACCGCACACCGGTACGATGCTCATCCAGATCGAAACGGGCAGGGGTGGGGCTCGAACCCAGGATCCCTGGGTTCTGCAGCGCGAGCTTTCGCTCCACGTGCTCCGAGCTGGTGTGCGCTAGACCACTCGGCCACCGATCCCTGTGTCTTTTAGTTTCGGCTCGCTGGTTTCCTCTCCGGTCACATGTGTTGGATGTCAAAAGAACGCTTGCATAGCTCTTAACGCGAAAACAGTCCCAAATGTCGTGCAAAAGTCTGTTCTGTGGTTGGAGGTCGGAGTGTACAGGAGAAACAGCCACCGGTTTAGTTGTTCCGGTTCCAAAGAATCCTATGCGACGGGAAGCAATGGTTTTGCGAGTGGATAGTTTCACGGCCGGGTGCTCTTATGTGCGAGATCGTCACAGACGACGGCCAGTTTGTCCCCGACGATGTCGTCATCGTCGCTGGCGCTGGTTGTCGGCGGGTCAGTCCAGCTTCCAACATCGCTCAATAACAACCACTCACATCGCTGCTCCGATCAGTGTCAAAGACTCCAACGAAGCGAGGAGTGCCATAGGCGTCGTCGTCTCGAAAGCGCGTGCTTGAAACGCGGAAAGTAGGTGAGGAAACTGACGCGCGAAACGAAGAGGGGGTCGCGTCTGGGAGTGCATGCAAGGGGATGCCGCACCACCTGGGAAGGTGGGCGAAGTATGTCGCCGGCCCATCAGACATGGTGGCCTTCCCGAATAAGGGGGAGATCCAAGGGTCCCGCGAATAAATCAATCTACCCACCAAACTATCGCACCATTTACAGACAAAATTTAGCAAACATGTAGGAACACATAATGGGTCGTAGCACTATAGTTATCTCATATTTTATTTCTGGCATGTCCTCACCCGTTTCAAGATTTCAGGCTAATACTGGCTAAATTTCTCATCTACAGTGGGTAACAATGTTGCCATACACTGGCTAGGCTAGGTGACGCAAGCTGCCGCCCATCCTAAAGGGTACATTCGTTATTATCCATCCATCCATCCGGACTAGACTCCTGCTGTCTAAACAACAAACTAATTGTTTTTTTCTGCATGAATCCTGTCCAGTTTTCAACTAGTCTCTTGTCTTTTACACTAACTGTTTTAGTGGTGTTTTACCAACTAGGCCACCAACTCATATTATGACAATTTCTTTCGTCTACAATAGGCCCCCCCCCCCGACTTCCCTTTTTGTTTTCTCCCTTCAGTTGTAATTCTGAACCTCGTCCTTTTCTTTCTCTATCTTTACAATAAACATTAGTTGAACGTAGAGCTTGTCCCGTCTACTCGTCTACTTGTCCTTCGTCTTTCGCACCAACTGTTTTTGTGCTGTTCTCTCATCGTAAGCAATTACAAGTGAGCATAGTGCATTGGAGCACGCTCGAACGCAAATCTGTGAACCAGATTTAATGATCCGATTATAGACGGCATGGCTGTTTCGTTCCCTCCCCCCCATCCATTATCAAACTCACGTGACCTTGTGGGCACGGCTAAGAGCTGGCAGTGTTTCAACTACCATTGTAGGCAGCCTCGTGCACAAGCTTTCTGCCTTTGGTTACTGCAACGCTTGTTGCACGTTCAGGCAAAGCCTGGGGGAAGGCAACAAGTGCGCACTGGAGGCAGAGCATTTACCGGGCTCTTGACCTGTCATCCACTAAAATGCAATGTTTCCTGCTGTGGAGGAGAAGCAATGCGAGGGTCTCAAACCTGGGTGGTGTTGCATAAATCCGCTGCCAGAACCCTTTCTACCCTTACGACCTAGGGCGAGCTAGAGAATGCCTCCCGCAAGTTACGTTTCTCCGTCCTTCAACTCTCCGAGGCTTTGCCCGACTATTTTAGCGGAATATTCCGGCTGATTTAGTGGTATGAAGACATTCAGAATTAACCGCAACAACAACGATATGTTGGGTATGTGAATAGAATCTTCCTGCAGGCCCAAATAGATCTGGACTCGTGTTTGGAGCATCCGTGGCTCCTGATTTTCCAGTAACACTCCTGAATCTTGGCAGTACTAAGACTCGTACGCAGGGTTCAAAACACATGCTGGAGGAACTGCGTCTTGAAATAAGAAGTCTGCGGGAGTTTTTCTGGCTCCTACTGTACTTTCTAACCGACAAGAGCCTAACAATTTCCCGGCTTTTTCGCACCTTTGAATTTCGCCGACAGTGTGAACGTCTGTAGTTGGGCGGGTCAATACGTGACA